AACAACTAATTAAGAAAAGGATAACATGGCTTTAGCGTTCACCGTATCTGAATTCACGTTATTGCAAAAACTCCCTATTTTTATGGAATAAGATTTGTATGTTAAGTTAAAAAAAAGAATTAAAATAAAGAAAAATTTATTGTAAAATTAAAAACGGCTAAAAATATAATTTAAGATTTCAATTGTTGATCGATACATAAAATTGTGCATAGAGAACTGAGACGTGTATATGAATCTAATAAAGAATAAATTAAACAATATACAATATCTAGTAATAATTAGATTTCATAAAATCATATTTTTTTAGGCATTTTAAATTTAACAACAAATTTTTTTTTATTAAACATATTTTCTTTAGCACCAAATCAAAGCCTGCAAAAGAGGCTATTATTCAATGTGTTGAATCTTATGCGAAGCATCAACATCTTTATAAGGTAAGAACGATAAATGAAGAGCAACTTCAACATATCAAATGTAACAAATGTAGATGTAATAAACCATATTATTCGTCTTAATAATCTAAGAATTGCTATTATTCAATGTGTTGAATCTTATGCGAAGCATCAACATCTTTATAAGGTAAGAACGATAAATGAAGAGCAACTTCAACATATCAAATGTAACAAATGTAGATGTAATAAACCATATTATTCGTCTTAATAATCTAAAAATTGCCCGAGTTGACGTAATCTTATTAACTTTCTTATTTGTAAATTATATTTTGGTCCTAGTAATCTCTCAATTTTTATGTACAGTATACCATAAACGTGTCCGTGGACTACCTTCTCAAAAAAGCGAAAAACTACATTAGAAAGAACGGAAAATCTACAATTGTCATTCCTAATTTGGAGATATTAGGACGTTATTTAAAAATAAGTAATGGAACCTTGAGGTGAGCACTACTATAATCATTATATAACACAATCGAGGAAATTAATGTACATTTTTTGTATAATATTTTTATTGAATTATCTACTTCAGCAAAATAATTAACTTTTCAGAGATTTTTCAAATCTGAGAAGAATGGGAGATGCAACTATATTCGACACAGGACGAACACGAAGTATACGAGTTGGATTTGGATTTTCTACACTTAAATTTAAGTGTAATTATGAGGTTAGGTTTATAAATTACTCGATATTAGAGGAAAGTCGATACTGACATAGGTCTCCTAAAGTGACACCCTCTTATTTTTCTGAAACTAACTATTGCACTTTATTAATACTAATAAAATGACCTCTGTTTTTAGCTAATTAAAGAAATACAAACTCGTATTATAAAGTAATAATTCGTAGGTTTGTGACTTGTTTCTATATCAAATCAGCTAAAAACTAATTCTACAAATGCGAAAATAAAATTCTTACGATTTTCTTTTGCAAATTATGAGGTTTAAATAATAGTGACTATATTATTGATAATATTACATCATTTTAAAAACTTGTAGTTTCCGAAATAAGTTTTATTTTTATTATTTCTTCTCTTAGCCTTTTCGATTTTTAATTTAAAATTTTTAATTTAAAATTAGAGTGCAGCGTAAACCGACACATCTGTCCGTAAGACAGACCATGAGCTAACTTAATCTTTATAATGTTGCTTTATAGTGTCAAATAAGTCTATTGGAGCTGAAGGCAATCATGCATATATGAAACAACTCTAGAAAAACTATCGCGTTACATATTTGCATCTTGCAGAACAGCATAAAGTAAATATGCATATATATCAATAAAAATGCTTCATAACGAAGTAAAATGATTCTGAAAAATCTTATATACATTCACTTATAGATACTTTATACAGATAATTCCTGTAAAAGAAAAAGAATAGGAACATGTAGCATTACTGCCTACTGTGTCAGGAGCCCATTTTGTCAGACGCTCATTTTTGCATAACTTACGAAAAACTTAATTATTGCAAAATTGCAAACAGTATTATAAAAATTGCTTATACTATCTGATAGAAGACACTTTTTATTTTGTATTTATGTTTTTGAAGTTGTATTTTTACCTTTTGTTTAAGAAATATTGTCTAAAAACAAAGTGGTATGTCGGTATCGGGGTGACCTTCCTCTAATAATTAAAAAATATTAGCATAAAAACATTCAACTTTTTTAAATATTAATATATGCCTTAATGTACAGCTTACAATTGGCTCCAGCACGTTCAGTGGCAACATATTCGCAGTTATTAATGGATTAGGAATAGCGGCGAAACTAAATGTTGATTATGATGAAGCATACGACGTGAGTTTGGAGAACTTCCAAATAAAACGTGGTCAAATCATTGTAAAAATGACTGGTCTACTCGATAGTTTAATGAATGTCATAAGTCCATTGATTTCATCAATAGATACTGAATTGTACGACGTGATCGAAGTTATAATCGGTAATTACGTTAAAGAGGAAATTAAATTTCATTTGTAATTTGTAATAATAATGCTTTTCAATTATAATCACGCAAACCGTATGAATTAACAATCTTTCAGTAATGACGCGATAAGTATAGGTTTTAAAAAATCCCACTAATAGTATATAAATTTAAAATATATTACTTAATTGTACTATCGCTTTTTATTTGATATAAATCATTGTTAGAATATTTATAAAATATCAACACTTCTAAAAATAATAATTTTTATTGTAATATTTAGCAAAATAATTATATAATAAACCAAAAATATATCTGAAAATTCTATTATTCTCAAATGTTATTTTATACAGTAATACACAATACTTATCTGTATAGTTTTTAAAAAATATCTATTTAAAAATGCACATTTGTTTTATATGTTATTATTGAAGAAACTTGAATGGATTCAATTAGACTGTGCATCGTTATTTGTATCAGCGACAATTTCTGCCGGTTTGGTAATAACAGCTTCGGAAATTGCAACTTTTTGTACGTCATTATCTGTACATTCTTGGGAAGAATTATTTTCATCTTGCTCTAAAATTTCTTTTGTTTCAATATCACCGTTAAATTTATTAATTAGTAACTACAGAATTATCTTATATGGTATCATTATTAATGTCACTAGTACATTGTACCTGTATAGTAGTACTATCACTGTCACTATTATTTGTACTCATTGCACGCTTCAAAGCTAAATATTCCTCTCTGATCCTGTTGAAGCTGTGTCAAATGCCCAGAAATTATGGCGCAAGCAAATTAAAAGAATATGTATGTATTCTTACAACAAATTCGTGCTGTAACAAATTTCTTTCAAAGATCGATACCCATTGAGAAATGACAATGAAATCGATAACGAATTGACGTTGATTTGTTGTCGATTTGATGCTTTCAACGTCGAATCGACATCGATTCGATGTCGATTCCGTTATCATTTCTCACTGAGTAAAGGAAAGAAAAGTATGTTATTACGCTATAATTGTATTCAAATTTTAATATATGAAACCCTGCTTAAAATTTTCTATAAAAAACAATAGGAACATTTAGAATTTGTATAGGTTTTTATAGTTTTCAATAATTTCTATAGTAGCGCACGAGAAGGACTACAGAAACTCTACATTTATCGATAAGATTCTATGAGTATAATTTTCTATAGTGTTTTACCTATTTAACTCTTATCAATTTTAATGGTGCTTCATGTGCAGTACCGATCTATAGGTGTCTATGGTTTTCAAACTATGAAAGTCGAAATGTTCTTTATGAGAAACAATAACTTATGGTCGTCGGCTGACCAATGTGTTTCAATAGATTTTCTCTTACAAGTTTTTATGGTGAATTTACTAGAGCCCGTTAATACCGTTCTATATGGAATTGCATGCATCAAGTGGTCTATCGGTAATAATAGGAAATACTCTACTGTAATAATGATTATAATTTTTAATAGTTTTTTAAATTCTTGGAAATAAAATTATGGTATAGGTGATTATTTAGAAGACGCCCCTCACCTTCAATTTCAATGAAATTATGCTCATTCAACGCGTTTTTGCGTGAAACGATAGAATTCGGTAGTAAAATATTGTGCCTATGGGTTTTTCAATGAAATTATGCTCATTCAACGCGTTTTTGCGTGAAACGATAGAATTCGGTAGTAAAATGTGCCTAGTCTTTACCGAGATATTAAGCGTTAAAGTTGACGACTATTGAGGTTAGGAAATCTACTACACCGACTTTTAATAGTTTTTAATATTTTTTAAAAGTTAACTTTTCATACATAGCAAGAACGGAACAGTCTTTCGTTTTGTATGAAAACGCGCGCGTCAAATGAGCTTAATTTCATTAAATTCAGAGATGAGGTATCGATTCTAAATAAATATCAACTAAAATACGTAAGATAGTGCTGCATTAAATCGGTGTGACAGTTTTCCTAATCTCAATATAATAGTCAATTTTAACACTTAATATCTCGGTTCGCTAGACTAGGCACATTTTACTACAGGATTCTTTCGTTTCATGCAAAAACGCGTCGAATGAGCATAATTTCATTGAAATTCAAGATAAGGGGCGTCTTCTAAAAAATTACCTAAATTAATTTATACATGAAATCGAATAATAGTCGAATTCTGAATTGTTTAAACATGCGTGCGATTATAGCTCAGGGTTAGCGTGTAAGATTACCATCCCACAGGTTCTAGGTTCTTAGGTTGGAATTCCGCCGAAACTGTACATTTCAGAAATATGTACACGCGTATAAATTAATGTTCAGCATATCTCAAACATGATAAATATATGATGTTAATATGAGAAAAAAGAGTATTTGATATTTTATTTCTTATATTTACATCATATTTGCGTTTCGGTATTTAATATGTGCTAATCGGAGTGAAATCCCTTTTAGAAAGTATTGGAAACTACATTACTTCACATACAAAACCATTAGGGCTGGGGATTTACCAATCCAAATCGCTAATTAAAAACTATAGAACTTTTTTCTATAGTTCTCTATAGTAAATTTTAAGCAGGGATGGCTATTTTACTAATTGAATCATAAGATTCGGCGGTGCAGTAAATCATCTATCCATAATCTAATGTTTCTCGACGATTTCTTTGTCTTGCCTTTCACACAATCATATATGTTGATCAGTAATTCAAGTGATAGTTGATAACGTTTCAATAATACGCGACAATCGATAACGGTAATATTAGATTGCAATAAAAAAGTCTTCCCCATTTTATCGGCGGCATCGATAAGTTCACCATCAAGAATAGACAATAGAAATCTGGAGACACTGGTAGTGTCTCGGCGCTAAGCCAAAGCAATATTATACATACTGCAATGAAATGATTTACTCTTTTTCCCCGGAACATCAGTGCTCATCAGGAATGGAAACGATAATTTAAATAAGTCGTTACAACACATGTAACAAAATAGTGTAGCAAAAAACCAAAATTTGAAAAAGTTGAGACATTTGATTTACCTATTACTGAAAATCTTATTGAGGTTGACCTTTAACCCTCCGCGAACCAAGAGGAAAATCAACGAGAATCATATGTGGATACATTTCATGCCTCATACTAATATACTTTATCATAAATATACTATAATTTAGTATGATTGATAACAATGCACTCTCCAGCTGCAAGAAACCGGCGCGGTATTTTTTTAAAAATTATAGAAATTCATTTTGCTGGAGTACGTCACACTCCACCTGGTTCGCAAAGGGTTAATCATTTTATGGTTTAACTGATTTGATTCATATTTTGCCTCTGTAGAATTGTAAAAATCCTCTAGTATTTATTGCAAAAACGGAATTTAATAAAATTAAGTCTTTTTTGACAAAGTTTGCAGACAGACGAATGGACCACCATTATGAAGTTATACGGTAAAAGTTATAAAATTTACTACACTACTTAGGCCCGGTTCCCTCGATGTAAGATTAACAATCTCAGATCAATTTATTCTTTATCTTTTCTAATTCTGAGAATTAGGAAAAGATAAACAGTAAATTAAACCGAAATTAGTTAATCTTATATAGTGGAACTGGACTTTAATATAAGTAAAAATAAGTATGAGAGTAGATTGGAATCGGTAAATTCTCTCAATAATTGTCTTTTTCAATATCAGTATTATCAATATATTATATGTATCAATATTATCAGTATTATATCAGTGTATTGCACTGAACAGTATACTGCATTTATATATACGTTTCCAATTAAACGATGCCAGTATACGTACTGCCAGTATCCGTTGCCGACATCAGAATTCACACACGACAATTAATAAGCCGTAAGTAATTAAATATTATAAATAATTAAATATTAATGTTTTGTAAACAATAGAAAATGACCAAAGAAAGTTAGATTATAATAAAAATATATATTTAAGATACAAAATCACTCAATTCTCATACATAATACGGTTCGACTACACAGTTTTCTTCAGTTAGCATATAATTAACGTAATAATCTCATCGCAAATTAAAAAACTGAACTCATATCATAATTATATCAAAATCCTCTAAAGCGTTACCCCACCATATTCATAAGATTACTTTGACTTTTTCTTTGGACTCAACGGGATTCTCGCCCTTGAACAAGGATTTAGTTATATCGTATAACATCATAACAATAATCTTATGAATATGATGGGGCAACACTTTAGCCGATTTCGATATAATTATGATATGAATTCAGTTTTTTAATTTACGATGAGATTATTACGTTAATTATATGCTAATTGAAGAAAACTCTGTGTAGTCGAAACGTATTATGTAAGAGGATTGAGTGATTTTGTAACTCAAATATATATTTTTATTATAATCTAACTTTCTTGCTCGTTTTCTATTGTTTGCTTTGTCAAATTGTGGAAGTGTCCACTAAGGAGGCCTAACTCGAAGCTTTGTCGTCGGCCGCAGCGTTTCCTGGTCCCACACTACTAGACTCATCAGTAAGGCGATGTAGTGTGAGACTTGCCTTAGACGCCTGGAATGAATCCAGCATGATATTCTATTTAAAGGAAAATTCGCACGGTGCGGCGCTTACGCGAACCGAGTGAGTCCCGTGGACCTCTAGTGGCGAGTCGCCACAAAATTATCGAGTGTTTTATGTCATTGTCATTAATGTTTTGTATTGTATATTTTTCATTCCATTAAATATATTAATTCGTCCAATTTATTATTTGATCCACTATGAATAATTGATAAACTTTAATAATATAAAATCTCTTGTAGTGCCTATACTGTATAAAAATTACATGTAAAATTACAATAATTATAGCAGATAATTTTAAGATCCACACGGAGAAAAATAATTTTACTGTTTTAGCAAACCTATAATTGTTACTGTGTATTCGTAATGGCAGCGATAAAATTTAGTTACAAACACTTTTAGAAATTATATGTTATTAGAGAATCTGTTTTGTTGCTAAGATAGAAAAAATTTTCTGTGTGTATTTGTCTTTACAACCAAAGTTAATTTGTTGTCAAAATAAAATAATGCGTTCTTAGCAAATTTTTTTATTATTGGAGCAAAATTACTATTATTCATTCAAATCCATTATGGACAGTAAAAGAAATTTGTTCTTGTAATCGATTTGTGTTATTACAGC